CTGCGGCTGGGCTGGGCGGCCGCCGCAGCAGCCCGAGGCTGCCCGGCTTTATCCTGGGCAGGTGCCGCGGCTGGGCCGGCCAAGACCGGGGGCAGGCGGAGCGCGCACAGCAGCAGGGACGCCCACCCGAGCAGCATAGTGCGCTGCCCGCGGGGAGGGGCTGCGCGATGGGGACTTTATGGGGGTTTGTTATTCGCTCTGGAAGTTACCGGGGCGGGAGGTGGGGACACACATACACTTGCTTGCAAGGTTGAGTCAAGTGTCGGAGGGAGGGGGACCCGGCAGCAGCGCCAGCCTGTCCCGGCCGCGATGCCAGCGTGCGAACTTTTCTTTGTTGGTTTGGAAAATGTTTGGATTCGTGCTCCCGAAATAGGACTAAAAAAAGAATAAAAGAAAAAAAAAAAGAAAAGAAAAGAAAAAGAAGACGGGTTGTGGAGAAAAGGGGAAAAACCCCAATCCAACCCCAGCCAGGATTGGGGCACCGAGAAAAGTAAGGAAGGTCCCGCGCACCAGGCGGGCAACTGGTGCGTGCTGCCTCCAGCCCCCTTGCTGCTCGGGACCCGCCGGCAGCAGGGTTCCAAGCTCCGGAGCCCGCTTTCTTTCTTATTTTGTGGGTTTCCTTGACTCTACTGGAACCGGGAGGAAGGGAAGAAAGAGACGAAAAAAAGCCATAAAAATTAAAACAGAAATGCAAGGGGCGGCCTGCGGCGAGCCAGCGAAGCTGCGCGTCCGTGTCCCTTCTGATGCAGTGTCTTCCTGCCCGCCGTCATCCCCAGTCGGCCGCTGCGAGCGCGGAGAGCAGCGCGAGCGCTGTGAAGATGCGAGGAGGTGGAACAATGAATTTATAGCGGCATGCCATCCTGCAATGGCAATTTCAACAATTCGTCACTGCAAGCTGCCTCTTAAAGGGAGAGCTTCCCCCACCACTCCCACCCTTCCTGGTCCGCGCCTAATCAGATGGGGGAGGGCGGGCCTGGGGGGTGATCGAGGAAAGGGCGACAGCGGAGGAGGAAGGGACCCGGTGAGGTGGAAGGAGGGGGGGGGGGGAGGGAGCAAGGGCGAGGGGGAGAAAAGTATTTGAGTAAGAAAAACAGAAGATTTCTTTGGCCTCATTTAAAGCCACAGCGGCTGGGGTTTGTCTGATATTTCACAACCAACTGGGGTTGGCTAACCTCGGCTTACCTCATCTCCTGACGGGGTGTTTTGGTATGTTTTTAAAGTTACTGAGACGTTTCAAGTCTCTCTCTGCCCCCTTTTCTCCTGCTTTCCTTTCCCTCGGTAGGAAGTTCCTGCCGCACGTTTTTGCCCTGTGCACGCCGGTGCGCTCTGGCCTCGTAGACCTTGCAACCGCATCCATCAGCCAAGGGCTTTCAGCTTCCCATGCGCCCCCTCGCCCCGCTCTCCCGGTACCGGTTTCCTCCCTCCGCATCCCTCGGACTCTTCGCTCTTGTTCTTGGATGCACGCTAGGTTCGGTCTTCGGGTGACTTAACTTTTCCCAGCCACCAGCAGAGTGGCCGCGCAGGCGGAGAGCCGCGGGCGCTTCCTGGCGCGTCGCTGCGCCCCGAGGGCTGCGTGTCCCCGGGACAGGGCCGCGGGAGGCCTGGGAACTCCGCGCCTTTGTGTGCGAGCCGCGGGCTCCCCCCTTCCTCAAGCGCGCCTTTCATCCTCGCCCACGATCTGTCACTTAATCCCGGATGACTGGAACTTCCTTTGCTTTGCTTTAAGAAGGCAAGGGCGGGAGCGGGGGGAGAGTTAACTCTTGAAGGGAATTGCGCTCATTTTTTTTTCTCCCCATAAGATTAGGAAAAAAAAAAAAGTGCCCACACTTTTCTCTTATTCCTTCGTCTAAAATGATATTTAAATGATAAATACCCATATATGTATTTATTTCTCCTAAAACAACTACTACCACCCTTGGCCCTGACCTACTATCATTCTCAGAAATTCCTTTTAGGTGAAAAAGAAGACTTTTGCGGGGAGGAAGGGCGCAGGTTGGTGTTTATCAGTATCTGAGTGGTATTGTTACTGCTACTTGGTTTCTCTCTCCTCTTTCTTTCCTCAAATTATCAACTCTAGTAGAAAAGAAGGAAAATCCGACTTTCTAACCACTACTGATAATGGTTAGAAGGTCTACCGTAGGGACAAGAGTATCTTCCTTCCTCATTATTCCAAGACAAATTAATGAATACATCAGTGAAAAATGAATCTGCTATATAGTTAGCACATTTCTGTCATTCTACCTTTGTTTAATTCACAGAGATACATGCCAAGGATAGCAGGGGCACCTCTGTGCACTCCAAGCTGCTGGTGGTTTTTGTATCTCTGTTAAGAGATCTGATGACTGTTTCAGGGAATCGGGAGGGTCCTGAACTGGCTTGAGGTCCTCCGAGTAGCAGCGATGAACCCGGGAATCCCAGAGCTGCCCAGCAGTGATGCCCATTGCCCTGTGCCTGGAGCACCCTCTGGAGTCACCTGGAAGGAGGGGTGAAGCATGTTTTGAGAGTTAGTTCTCACTTATAAATGAACTGATCATTGGGGTTTCCGGACCACCCAATAACTTCTAGTGGATTCTGAAATACCTCAAGATCTGGGAGAAAGTTCTATTGCTGAAGGCCATTGTCTTTTAATTCCACTACCCCTCAGTCTCTCAGTGGTCAGCTGTCCAAGACCAATACTACCAGTTGAATATTTTAAGGAACCAGAGACATTCAGAATCAGGAAATAAAGGAGAACCTAGTTCCTGAAGTCTTCCTGTTCCCCCAGTAGCCTTCAAGTTTGTACTGGCTGTTCTCTCTTCCGTGGTCATTGCCTGTGCCTTAAATAGGATTTGTTATTGTTATTATTACCAATTTCAGTAAAAAGTAGCCCAATATTTGTCACTAAATACCATCTCTAAAACAACTTGGATTCATTAATTTTAATGCTTCCATCACTGTTAATCTCAAAGGATCATTTTGATAGAGAAGCAGATGGCAGTGGTGTAAATTAATTAATTATAATTATTTGAATTCACAGATTTCATAGTTAGCATTTAAAGAAATTCCAAATGAATTTTCTTCTTAGTGAATGAACATCTTTCTCCTCTCTCAGAAACACTGCATTTCTCACATGAATCATGCCTCTGAATTTTATGCCTTCAATTTTAATTACATAATGATATTTGTACTCAGGTAGATTATTCAAAATTTTAGAAATATGTTGAAGAACAAGATAGATACAGATAAAGCTCCAAACGTGAATATCAAGTACTAAATATAAATATCACCACATATTCACAAGGACAGGAACTAATACAGCTTATAAATTTAATGAGAAAATTCTTACATATTCAGAACATTTCTAATTGGACATAACCTTTTTCTTCTTCTGTGAAAGTAACTTGGGCACTTTAGGAAGTTCATTTGGTAACACTTTAAAAATACTACCCTTGTGGATTAGGATGACTATTCCACAAATGTTCCAGAAAAATTAATGTCTGTCAGTCCAATAATATACCTTGCACTGCCTAAAAGTAGCCCTTGTTTTTATTTTCTTTTTAAAGAAGAAAAAGAACATGTATGAGGAATCATGTTTAGGGGGACAATTTGCTACTTTGTTATTTCATTATTCCAAGTGACAGTGTTACTTGTGCATATTTAATGAGAAGTTTCCACTGCATTTCTAGAGTATATGACCACACCTGATATGTAATTTTACATTTCCCCAAAGGAAGAGAGACTTTCTACTCCAGAATGTTACAAGTTGGAAATTATTTTAGAGATTATCTAAGAGTTGAGACCAAAGTGAGTTGCCTGGGAGTCAAAAGTCCACTAGTGGCCAGCTCTCCTGCAACCTAAATTCCTTCCCCCTGATTTGATGGGCAATCCACAACCTCTCTTAAAATCCACCCAGTGTAACAAATATCTGTTGAGGTCCCACTGCAAAGTGCTCTGGAGGTTCTCTGGAGACATATGAAAATGAATAAGGCATGATTAATGTTCAAAGATGCTGACAGTTCAGAGATGGAGCCAACTGTACCAAGAGATACTTGGAATGCAAACTGGAAAATGCAAATAGAGAGGGGGAAAAAAGCAAGAGAACAACTGCAGGTGCTTTGAGCTGTGTATTTCCATTACAGCTTCATTTCATAGGATGTGTATATTCTTGTAAGTAGTATTTTCTCAAATTTCCATTTGCTAAAGTGTCATTTCCTCCCCTCCCCCCATCTATGATTTTAATGCTAAAAATGAGGAAATAACTGACAATAAAATATTCCCCTCCAGTCAAACACCTGCTCTTTACCTCCCAAGTAGGAGAATGACAGCCTGTCAACTCTGTAACAGTTTTCCTTTCCCACATCAGGATCCCTACCCTAGGTCTTGCTGTATTTTGAAGTCCCTGAGTATCAGGTCCCTGAGTGGCAGGATGCTGGATGCTGGGAGTCAAGCAGCTCCACTGCTGCTTGAGGCCCTATACGAATGCTCTAAAGATTCTAGGTCAGCGTTTCCCTCAAGTGCCACTCAACTTTGCAAATTCTAGTTCTCAGAAAACTTGCTTCAAAACCAAAGGTTATTTTAGATACCTCATATAAGTGTGTAATCATGCAGGATTTGTTCTTCTGTGACTGGTCGATTTCACTTCGCATAATGTCCTTCAGGTTTATCCATGCTGTCCACATAAAATAGTCAAACTCATAAAAGCAGAGTGTAGAATGCTGGCTGCTAGGGTCTAGGGGGTGGGGGAAATGGGGCGTTGCTCTTCAAGAGTATAAAGTTTCAGTTATGCGAAATGAATGAAATCTAGAGATCTGCTGTAAAACATCGTGCCTATAGTTAACAATACTGTTTCCCCTTGCAGAGAAAACTTTCTTGAGACCTTCATTGTAGAGATTTTATTTTTTTAGGGAAATATACCACATTTCTGATAAAACTCAAAACCATTTTCTCTGGTCTCTGCTTAGGACATATTACAGAATGGTCTATCTCTTATGACAGATAACACATGCTTCAGAATCAGTGTTATTTAATTTTATAAAGAATAAATTTTGGACAAAGCTAGATTTTCATTTTTTATATGCAGAAATTTTATACAGTATAAAAGTCTTCAAGTGAGTAATGTACATGGTATTATTTAAGACATACAGGTGCTATCTGTAAA